TCACCCTGTAACAGAAACATGTGATGGAGCATTACTAACCTGACTCAGATGGTTTCACCAAACCATCTAGGAAAGCTCCATTGGAAGCCATTTGGAAAGGGCAGGCACTTTCAAAAATACTTGGAGGTGATTGGATCAATCTATCATGGGCCACTTCTGATTGGTTAACAATGGCTGGTGCATGTGGAGCACAGCACTTCTGATTGGTGTGGATGACTGACACACAAGAACAAAAAGTAAAAGTCCTAATCCAGATCAATGCAAAGCCTCAGAGTAGAAGGGTCTGGTTTGTTGAATTAATGTATTATGTCAGACTTTTCATATGTATCAAAGTCCCATAACATCCTAAATATAATTTTATTTTATATTATTCAAAGGAATGATAATACATATGACATATATCTGAGTGTACCCAGAGTTGAAGTTTCTCGCTGGCTTCAGCTTTGATGCCGTTTGATCTGTCAGACGTGATTGGCTGCATCCCCCCCATAACATCCTAAATATAAAATCAAGATGTCCTCCAACAGTTCTGATGAAACAATGATTTAAATTATGATCAAAATGATTGTATTGTTATTTTTCGGGCAATCAATTAACTTGTATTTTCACCTTTTTGGTTATACAGAGGAATGATATAGCTCCATAATATTCTAAATAAATACATTTTCCAAATACTTGAGTGTATCCAGATCAATACGGAGAGCCTTAAGTTTCTCGGTTGCTATAGCTTTGATGCTGTTTCGGAGTTTGATCCGTCAGATGTGATTGGCTGCATCCTCCCCCCCCCCCCCCCCNCCTCTGTTTCCCTCCATCCTTTCCCTGAAGTCTCACGCGGGGACAAAGGCTAAAGTGTCCGTGGGATGGGGTTGTGATGCTGGTTTTTTGGGGGGGGTCGGCCCCCTTCGAAGGACCTGACAGGGGTTTAATCCCCATTCTGAGTGCGCACATGGGGGAGAGCGCCCGTAGTCTAACACCCATGAGAGGGTCTTTTGTGAGCTCTGTTACAGTAGGATGGATGCAGGGGTTTCAGGCCCAGATAAACGCCAGGGTCAAACAGGCCCACGTTATTTACAGTAGGCCCTTTCATTGCCTGAGTGAAACAGGAGCCCCTGGTTGGAGGTGGAGGTGGAGGGGGGGGGGTTCACTGTTTGTGCTCAGCCAGGCCTCCACTACAGGTCAAAGATCAGGGGGGTTACAGACCTGACTTGTGCGTGTTGGTGTGTGTGTGTGTGTGTGTGTTGGTGGTGGGGGGATTCATAGGGATAAAGAAAAGGTAAAGGGGTGTGGGGGAGTTTGGCTTCAGAGACATTTCCTGTAAGAGTTCAGATTGTTCACTGAGGGTTGAAGGACAGTTTTTAGCTTTGGTACAAGCCATCCTATTATAAGACATTTCTTATTAACTCTAGCCAAATGTACACAAAGTTGTATTCTTACTTGAAGTTGCAGTTACACAATTAGGAAGTCCTTCAAGTCTCTATTATTAGTATTTGAAAATAAAAAGTCCAGGATACGTGCAAAACATTCGGTCTCAATTTGACTTTCAGAAGTTCAGTTTTAAATATTGTCGATGCATTTTCTAAAATTACTCAGAAATCTATCCCGCTATCCCACATGCATGGGACATTTTTCCTGAACACAGGTCAAATGAACACACACACACAATAGTATTATTAGTGTTATTATTGTTATTTGTCATATTTGTATTCTACCGTTTGTATATATTTAAATTTTTTGGTAATAATTTACTTGAATTTTTTTTAAGTAGTTCTCTCCTTTTTGACAATGAAATGCCTCTTACTGAGTTTAAGCATGCACCACTAGACACTACACAATATCCTTGTACTGTATGTGCAAACCTAATTGGCAATAATCCTGATTGAGATACCATTTAGCATTCGTACCAAAGCATTTGAATATGCGCGGGACATTCTTCATTAACGCTTGCAAGCTTTCCACTAAGTT